ATGCAATTTACACAATTAAATATCCAATTGACCCAATTAAATTAATGTACTGAAATCACCAACGCCACAGGAACTCAGCTACCTATTTAGCACATTCCCTCCTTCACACATCTGAGGGTCACTGCAACCCACTCTAGACCAAACCATGTCCACTTTGTAGGCAACCCTGAATGTCAGAAAATTTTACCTTTCAATAGAAAGAGAAAGTAAGTCCCAAGGACTCAAAGCTTTTGCAGATAATACCTTGACAACTGTCTCTTCTAATACAAGTGGGAGGATCTGGTTATCGACGGAAGGGAACGGACAGATGCTCTTAGGTCAATATGATCAGGCAAAATGTCGTCTTTATTAGAAGAAAGACAGATTATATAGTGCTTATGACGCTTAGTTTCTTGTTCACACTACATTGGTTACATAAGGAAAACATGCTCTGCTGTCCACTGTTAATTGGACTACAACAGGTGGTCATAGGAGATGAGAAAACTTTATTCACCTGCCAAAACTCCTCCTTGGCATCTGGCATGAATCCACCTTTGTTCTAACTTCAGGTCCTGTAGCCATCTTAATGGCGCAGTAATTTTTGCTATCAGTACTCAGTTATGCCAAGGTAAAAATCTCAGAAATGCAATAGAAATTGTTCACACAATTTCTGCCTTACGACAAATCCCCCTTTCGATTTTTGAACAATTTATATTGCATTTCTGTATCACTCTTTATTGTACCAATAACATATCAATAAACATCATTACATATTACAATAATAGTGCATTAACAAACTTAACAACTTATTAACTTCAAGGTTTGTGCTCTTAAATTTTCTTAAAAGTGCTTTTCTAAATATAGGATTTATTCTTGAAAATCTTTATTCAGTCTAAAACACTTCTGGAAATGGAACTTCATTCATTTTTGAGTTATGTGTCTTCTGTGTTTATTTAAAGATGTTTGTGTATTTGTTGGATCAAAACACATTAATCATCATGCATTCACACACATTCACACATACAAGCTCTCACAGTGGCCACTGTCAACATTCACACAAGCATACTTTTGAATTCCATATCACTGTGTTTTATGAGCTAAAAAGTTGTAATTTTTTAGTACCTTATAATGTTAAAGTTTCTTAACCTGATAGATAAACTTTCTTTTACTAATATATAGTGAATAATCTAAAGTTCACACAGCACACTTTCTTAAATTCTAAACCTCTATAATTATGTACTTCTTACCTTCTAGACTTATGTGCTTTAAAAATATCAAAAAATTGTGTTCATAATACTTAAAAATTGTGCTTTTGTAATACTGAGAAAACTGTGCTCAAAAAATTGTGCTCTCAATAAGACTAAATACTGTGCCCTTTTGGTAATTCACTGTTACCTGCAACAGCAACAACATCAGCCTTGTTTTAAAGAACCAGCTTCTTTCCAGGGTTTCATTTATGAGCAGATAACCAGAGAACACCTGTGCACAAAAAACTTAAACACATGAAACACTTTTGCAAGTCAATAGAGGAAAACTGATATCTTTCTTTCCCCCTTTTTCTTTGTGCAAAAGTGTGTTAAAGAATTCTTAAATCACTGATTTCTTTACTAAATACTCTTGTGCTAATAATCCTAAACCTATAACAGCTTTATTCTGCAACAAACTCCACTATACTAATTCTATTATTTAATAATTCTGAAAAAATTTCTAGGAATGTTGCTGATCTGTTCTAAACTCCAACATTATTTTCTTCTTCATCACCATCAGAACTTGTGTCTGATTCTGAAGAAGTGTCAGTCTCCACAGACAAAAAAGGTTTTATAGCTGCAGTTATTGCATCAGCTAAATAGGTTGTTTTCTCTTGTTGGACTATTTTTGCAGCAGCTTCTAAAAACTGGGCTGTAGCAGCACTCCTAGGTAGTGTACCTAAAACTTGTTTTGTATTTTCATTAGCATTATTATAGGCCAGTATGTCTAAGAATTTTGTTTTCATGTTATTATCTATGTCCGGATCTGAATTTATCGACTCATGTAAACGATCTACAAACTGATTGTATGGTTCAGTGGGTCCCTGCTTGATTGAAGTACATGGGAGTCCTGACTTTGCATCTCTTATCATAAGCAATGACTTATAAGCTAAATCCTGACTAGTTTTTAATACTGCATCTGGAAACTGTATTTGCAAATATGCACTGTTGTACTGACCAAAACCCATGAGCATGTCAGCAGAAACACCAAAGAGAGGGTGTCCTTTCTGCCTAGATTGTGCAACCATTGCTGCACAACTGGCACTCCATTTGATGAAAAATTCCAGTTGCTGGAAAGGAGAAAGTAACATAGATATAATTATACGAATATCATATGGTGTTAACAAATGAGCAGTAAAGAGATGCCACAGTACTATTTGTGTATAAGTACTCTTTAAACCATACTGCATAACAGTCATTTTAACTTCTTTTAAAATTTTCCAGTCCAAAGCTTTCCAGGGTTCACTCTCAATTAAAGTTGAAACATTAGAGGGGGCTGTATTCAGCTGAACAAGCTGTCTCTCTCCTAATTTAGACTCAAGCTCTTGAAAGAGAAGCAATAAGGTGTCTTTGAGGTCTTTTATTCCAAGCATAGTGGCTTCCTGCCTTCCATTGTCCAAGCTCTTGTCATCAGGAGACAAGCCTGAGGATGGAAATGATGAAAATAACTCTTTTGCATTACCACGATTAGGTTTTTCTTTCTCCTTTCGTAGCAGAACTGAATTGGGTGAAGGAGCCATGCTCGCTTCGGCAGCGGCTCCGGTCCCCGTCGGGATGGTGGTGGCTTCTGCCGAAACGGCAGCTCCTGCTAGGACGGCAGCAGTTGCTGCCAAGGCGGCAGTCCTTGCTGAAATAGCTTCAGTTGCTACGGCAACGCTTGCAGAGGTAACTCCGGCTGCAGCAACTGCAGTTTCCATGGTTTGACTTCCTGGTTCTGATGAGACGACTGCTGATGACGCAATTTCAGGCGACATGATGGTTCCAGGCAGTGACGATGTAGCGACATCTAGTGGTTCGGAGGCTCCTAGCAGCTCTGTTCCAGGCGGCGTTTGCGCAGTGACAGCTTCTGGTTCTGTGACCAGCGCAGGCTCAGTAGAAGGTGGCAGTGCTGGCAACGCAGGCTGGCAGAGTGCCAGTGTTGCTCTCCGCTGCTCCTGTTTTGCTTACAGTCTCTGTTGGTACAAGTATGCTGCTAAACTGAGTCAGTCCCGCTGCTTTTATTAGCGATCGCGACTGTGCAGCTGCAGGCACTAGGACCTCCTCGCAAACAGATCTATCGGTTCGGAGACACGCCACAGTCTCGCTGACTCCCGACAAAGTTCCCTGAGCAACTATAAGTTTTTGCTGATCCGTAGTTAACTCTTGCAGCGATTCAACGACCAAACGTCAAACTTTAGGGTATTTTCTATACTTTTTAACATTTTTTGACCCTTGTTCCATTTCTTCCCATAACTGTTCCTTTATAGCATCCCAAATGGATACCTCAAAAGCTGTTTGAGCGGAGGGGAGTAGATTCTTAGCTCTCGCCCAGACTATTAACCCTTCAAGGGTTTTTTTATCATAATTTGGCTCTCTTAGAGAGACTATATGTTGTAGGAGCCTTTTCACAACTTCTTCATATTTGGAAAGCGTGACCCCCATGCTCCCACCAGCTGACTCACCGGATCAGGGTGAGATTCCAATTTTGACCGTGCACGGCTTTGTTCACAGCACCGGGGCAGTGCTACCTGTAACAGTTGCTTCCTTCGGCTCTTCCGTTCGCCTTATGTCCCGGAGAACTGACGAACTTTGAGTCCCTGTTCGGGCGTCAATTATCGACGGAAAGGAACGGACAGATGCTCTTACATCAATATGATCAGGCAAAATGTCGTCTTTATTAGAAGAAAGACAGATTATATAGTGCTTATGATGCTTAGCTTCTTGTTCACACTACATTGGTTACATAAGGAAAACATGCTCTGCTGTCCACTGTTAATTGGACTGCAACAGGTGGTCATAGGAGATGAGAAAACTTTATTCACCTGCCAAAACTCCTCCTTGGCATCTGGCATGAATCCACCTTTGTTCTAACTTCAGGTCCTGTAACCATCTTAATGGCACAGTAATTTTTACTATCAGTACTCAGTTATACCAAGGTAAAAATCTCAGAAATGCAATAGAAATTGTTCACACAATTTCTGCCTTACGACATCTGGTTATGCTGGAATAAGTATAAAGGGAAGAGAAGGTCCTTAAGATACTCTTGGAGCAATATAGGACATAACCTGTAACCATATAGAATAATGAATGTAGCTTAAAACTATGTAGCAAACCATGTACCTTGACCTATATTAAAGGTCAGCAGACTCAGCAGAAAGGAATTTCTTAGGAGACAGAAGTTCTCCTTATTCTGAAGTAGAAATGATAAAAGGAACAGGCCAGTCAAAACTAGTCTTGTTCTCTGGCAAAGTTCCAAAGGGCATGAAGATGTGCCAAAAGTAAGGGTTCAAGAAAAGGACAGCATGAGGAAGACTACAGAACAAACAGAATGACCACCAACTCAAAATGGGAGGCATGTCAATGGGAGGAACAGTTCTGGGAAAGGGGGGGAACAGGATTAGGTAATGTTTGAATTGTTAATTAGGTAACTGAATAAAGGAAGGAGGTTTTTGTAACTCAAGTATGCACAATTTGGAAAAAATATTCTCTTGTGCATCCAGCGTGCTTAAATAAAAGAAGGCTTTGCTCCCTAAAACTCAAAAAAGGGTCTTAGAGAGTTTCTTTATATCTGATTTTTTGGCAACAAACCAAGATTTAAAAGACAAACCGGGGGGATTTGCTTCCAGGACTGTATTTTCAGGACATTACTGTTCAAATAAGGGTTTATGCATTAACCCAACACTGGCAGTTGCTAAAGAGCAGTATTGTCCAAAGACACTCCATGAGACAGTAGGAGAAGATGTGCAACAAAGAAGAGTAGATTTATAAAAAAAACATAAAAGAGGTTTCACCTACCTTCGGTCATTTCTCCTCCTTCTGAACAGTTTTTTGGTGTGCGATTTCAGCTTGATGAGGCAATGAATGGTAACCCTGTAAAACCGAAGGAAATGCAGTAATCAGCTCCAAGAGACAGGAGGCATCAATATGGAAGGGATGAGAGTGAGACAGAGCTGCACACTCAACATGTCAGTGTGATAAAAGAAACAGTTGCCATCCAAACATCCTTACAACATCTCAGACCCTATTGAAGCAGGACTGGAAATCCACGGACTTGTACCCTCTCAGGGCTGGTGCAATAAGCAGGACATGAAGTTGTCTGCAATTCCTGTATGGGAGAAGCCACGTGGGGCAAATGACTGGGCCATGTATGGGTAGATCCCAATACACACCATTGGAAGGGAATTCACCCACTTCACACATGACACTGTTGACACTGGTGCACCTAAACTACCCACTTTCACTGGGTTGTTTCATTTGTATATTTATCTAAACCCCAGCTGCACAAATGTCTTTAAAGGGATGATGCTCAGAAGCCTTTTGAGGATATTGGAGTAAGCCAACAGGAGCTACAGCTGGCAGGTCTGTTGGGGCTGTGCCCCCATGCCATTAGCAAGTCAACAACCATATCACGAGCACCTCACTGAGCCTGCCCACCACTAGTTAGTCCCTGAGGAAGGGATGGGCAGTGTCCACCTTACCGGAAACAACTGAGATGACAAGGATGTTAGATGGCCCAAGCCAAGACAGTGTAAAAGCTATGTGTAACTGGATTGGGTCTGGCTGAGCTGATGTTCATTTCCCTATAGTAGCCCTCACAGTGCTGTGCTTTGCATTGGTAGCTAGAAGGGTGTTGATAACACACCGGTGTTTTGGCTTCTGCTGAGCACAGCATCAGCACTGTAACATTCCTTCCTCAGTCGAGGGCTAGATTCTGGGAGGAGACACAACCAGGCCATCTGACCCAAACTGACCAAAGGGATATTCCATATCATAGGACATCAGCTCAGATATAAAAGCTAAGGGAAGGAGAAGGAAGGCAGGCGTTCATTGTCTCCAATAGTTGCCTGTTGAGAAACTGTTATGCATGCTGAAGCCCTGCTTCTCGGAAGTGGCCGGCCATCACTGCTGATGGGAAGTGGAGAATAAACTGTGTTATCTTTTGGTTTGCTTTTGTGCATGCAAGCTTTCGTCTAACTTCTGCTTTATTAAACTGCCTTATCCATACCCACTAGCTATTCTCCATTTTACTTTCTCCCCTGTCTGTCTGGGGAGTGATAGAGTGTCCAAGTAGTCACCTGGCATCCAGCCAAGGTCAACCTACCACAGTCCTTTTTGGTGCACAACATGGGGTATGATAAAGGCAGTTAAATATATATATTGCATGCTATAATAATAGTAGCTATTGAATAGCAAACTCCTGTGTGGGACACAGAGTGTGGCTGCACTGCTTATCACTTTGTTTTGGGAACATACTAATCTAAACAATGGTTCCGTGCTTTGCCTTTAAACTAATGGCCTTGTTATGCTTGGGGACTTATCTTCTGGAGAGTTATCTGGGGATGATGGAGGAATGCACCCTTCCCCCCCTCCCTGACATTGATATAAATGGTTTTATAAAGAAGTCTTCTGTGCTCCTTGCTAATCCTTATGTGAGCAGTTTAGTAATGTGTTATAGTTTCATACCTTTTTTTTTTTTTGGTGAATTTTCCACACCAACAGTCTTTGCTAGGGTGAGATACACATCAGGTTTCATTGTTTGTCTAGCTCAGGCCTTAATGACCGTCCTATTGAAAAGCTAAATAACCTCGGTTCACAGGTTGAATTGCTTAAGGGAAATCCCATCCCCTCCTGTAGCCACGGGCTGAGGGGCCAGCCGAGGTGGGGGATGGGGTGGGTGAGCTTTTTAGACTGAGGGATGGGGAATTTACTCCACTTCTGTCCTCCTTCTTTGGCGGGGTGAAGGGAGACCTCAGTTTTCCACCAGTGCCGATTTCCATCCCCTGCTGGTTTCATTGCCTTCGGCACTCAGTGGTTGCTTTGCTCAGATTTGCCATAGCTTGAGAGGGGTCCTGGCTCATCCCCCGACCACCTGCGCCCTGTGACGCCTGCTCTGCGGACTGCCACCACTGCCTGGGCACCTTTTGGAGCTGCCGAGGACCTGTTCATCCCCCAGTGAGAGAGTCCCTACGGTGCTCACGGCAGGGGGTTGCACACCACCTCTGTTGTCACAGAGGCTGCCATTTGGGTCTCTGTATCAGTTTGACCTGGCTCTCCCGCCAAACCCAAGCTGTCTCCTCCCCCTCCCGCTCTCCTCAAGCGAGGAAACAAAAACGAACCACAGGGAAAAAAACTGAAATAAGTTCGAATGAAATGGGATTATATCAAATATATATATATTACGTATATTTACAGTTATATATAGAATTTGAATATATTATACACAACAGGGAGCTCCTGAGGGGGAAAAAAGGAAAAGGGAGGGGGAAAACAGGGATAAAAAGAAACCTAAAAACAAATATCTCCTAAATATACCCGTTAATAGAGAACTAATGAATAAATATAAAAACGAATTAAATACTTCCCTGAGCAGGACAGCAGAACTGTGCAAGGCAGTAGCCAACTCCCCCAATGCCTCCCGGAGAGACTGGAGATAACGGCAGGCTTTGGCCTATACAAGCAAAACCGTCTGCGAGAGAGACCTGTCGTCTTCAGCCACCAGAAGAGAGAAGAGAGTGAACTCTCTTATCTGCCCCTTTTTATATTTTGTGTTATGGAAAGGAATGACATGGAATACTTCCTTAGATTCCTGACCCCGTTGCTAAGGAAGGTCTAAAAAATCCAAGAAACCAACTCACTACATTCTCCCTGTTCTTCGCTGGACAGACTGGCACCTCCGTCCCTTGCCAGCCGCTGCCGCCATAGCTGAGGGGAGGGGGCCTGGGCTTGGTGTGGACTGTCTAGAGCAAGCACTCTCAGAGATGGTCTGCCTGGAGGGAGATCCTTATGTGCCATTTGGGGGAGCCTTGTTTGCCAGGGGAGTTTCCTTTGTGCCACGTGGGGAGCCCTGTTTGCCAGCAGGTCCAAGGAACAGCTTGTGGGCGCTGATTGAAAGGAAGTCACTGCAGCCCTTGCATTTTCGTCTGCGCTCTCCAGTGTCACCTGGTGACCGTGACTGAGTCACTGCAGCCCCTGCCTCCAAAGGTGCGCCAGCGCTCCCTGCTGGGTGTGGTTATAACTGCGTTGAAAGGCAAAAAATACTTAATTCTTTTTGGTGAAAGTTTCGGTTACCAAATTGTTACTTGTTCTGTTGTGTTACATATATATATATATTTAGTAAAGAATTGTTATTTTCTTTTACACCCCTTTTTGACTGAGGTCTCTTAATATCTAAGTTATAATAACTCAGAGGGAGGAGTTTGGTTTTTCTCCTATCCTGCCCTCCTTAGCAAACACTTTTGTCTCATTAAACTAAGACATAATGATACTGTTTTTAACTAATACTGTCATCACATTATGGAGTTTGTGGAATCTGGTATTATCCAGGTGTAGGAGAAAACCAACTTTAGGTGATGATATATTGGTGCGCCCTGAGGTGCCCAGTTCCTGAGTGGCAAGGTATGTGGAAGGATTTGGGCAGGTTCCCAGGGTGTTTGACACCTCCCATTACCTGGGACTTCACACCTGAACAGGTGTCAGCAAACTGGCACATCACCTGAAGGAAGGGTGCCTTGCCTACCCCAATCAAAACCAGCAGCTTCTTGCTGTGTACCGGGACCTGGCCTGTGCTTATCGAGCCACAGTTCAATACTCTCAGAAGACTAGTGGAGGCAGGGACCCAAACTGCAATGGAGGACACTATGGCTGAGGTAGGGACTCAAACCACAACTAAAGTAATTGCCCCAGTAGTGAAAAAGAAGAAATGGATAAGGCAAGCTACAGGTCCATATCAGCGATAAGTAAGGGAGGAAGAGGAAGAAGAAGAAGAAGAAGGAGGGGAGTGGGTAAATGAACTAACCGGTCCTTCAACAAAGGAAGTCAGAAAAATCAAACAGGAAACCCAGGTTACCTGGTCCCTGACCTCATCAGAACTCAGGGACTTGTGGAAAGATTACAGTTGCCAGCCTGGTGAGTGGATTCCTACATGGCTGCTTCGATGCTGGGATAACAGGGCTGATAGTCTGCAATTGGAAGGTCATGAAGCCCAATAGCTGGGATCCCTTGCCAGAGATCGCAAAATTGAAAGAGGAATTGGAAAGGAGAGAACAATTCGCAGTCTTTGGAGACAGCTCCTCTCAACCGTGAGGGAAAGGTATCTATTCAAGGAAGATCCAATGAGCTCCCCAAGAAAGTGGGCCACTGCAGATGAAGGTATCCAGTACTTGAGAGAATTAGCAGTGCTGGAAATCATCTCTAGTAACCTAAGAAGGGATAACACCCCCAAAGACCCAGAGGATGTTCCTTGCAAAATGACATGTGGAGGAAGGTGGTTCAAAGTGCCCCTGCATCATATTTCAACAACCTGGTAACATTATATTACCTAAAGATGGATCCACCAACTGTAGAGGTGATATTCTCCTGGCTCTGAAATGTAAAAGAAACTCTGGGCATTTCCTCATTCCCACGGGCCAACACCTCAGTTCTCAGGGGCAGCCCAAGAGATTGGTCCCCTGTTGAGAGAATCTTAGATGATGCAGGACATATACTGCTTCAGGCCTGCTTCCACAATCTGGCCTGCGTGCTGGACGGCAGGGACCTGTGTTCTCCAGCAGCAGATGTGTGTCCTTGAGCAGCAGATATCAGAAAGCTGCTGTCCTAGTTAGAACAGCTGGAACCGATTCATCATTGGATGGGTGTAGCCCAAAACTGTGTATTCTATAGCCCTCCATGCCATTTCCCAGAAACTGTTGTCAGTAGAGGCCTGCGAGGTGCCCCCCCCCCCATGCTCCTGTCCTCATGCCCTTTTGTGGAATTCCCTGACTGAGCACCCTCACACCCTTTTATGGAATTCCCCACTCTGAGGGAAGGATTGAGCATCCTTTTATGGAATTCCCCGCTCTGGGGGAGGGGCTAAACATTGCTGCCTGAGCTGG